ATTATAGATTGATTGGAGGAATTTGTACGAGTTGCTTGAGGTGAAGCAGTTGGTATTTCGGCACGAGTAGAGTAGTAATCTTACCGCAATTTGTGTTTTCATAACTTGCATGATTTACACATGATTTTTAATATGAATATGTTACCGATTATTTTGAGTTGCATGTGGGACAAGTCTTTTACTCGATATGATACTGAAATAGTTATTTGAGATGAATACCATGGTTTTAAATATTTTCGTTGTCACTAGATCTGTTTGACAGTTACTTGAATTTACTGTTATCGAAAGGAAAGTATATGATTTGATAAGAACCGAAATGCCCTATATTGTTTTAAAATAGTTTCTACGAGTATATATGGATTACAGAGACAAGTATAAATGGGAGTAGACATTGAAGGATCCCGTAGCTAACGGCGGGTTCGTTAGACCTGGTGCACCTTGTAATTACATATTACCGTTATAGCCCTCGCTAGTGGGAAGGTAGAACTAGCATACCGTTACCGACTTCCCTCGAGTAGGGACTACCGTTATATTTGACTTCTTGCGAAGAAGTCCACAGTTATACCGATTAGATGATCCGTTCATTGAAACCTCCCAAAATCTGAATACTGATATTATACAGTGGTTACCGAGCTTATTACTGAATTGTTAATTACATTATATTACAAGAAAAGCGTGATGAGACTGAAAATTATTTATTGTTTCTGAAAGGGCATTTTTATGTTATTTTCTGTTTGATATACTAGCATGTTTTCTGACTTGTCCCCAAATAAAAACGGTTGTGGTTAAGTGTTATTACTCACTGAGCTAGCGACTCATTCCCCGCAAATTTTATTTTACAGAGACAGCAGTTGACGCAGGCGAAGATTTCGTTAATTAGAGCGCACAGGTTGAGAATTCTTGGTGAGCCTCGCACTTGTTCGCGTGGGCGGAGATTTTTATCAATTGTTATGGTCTTTTCTTTGAATTCTTAGAGTCTCTCCATAGTCATTCTTTTAGTGTTATGCGTATTATTTTGCTATTAGTTTTATGTCGAGTATCGTTCTTTATTATCAAAGTCGGAGATAAATTAGTATTTCTGGTTGTTAGTATGTTGATTAGTAATGGTGGAGACTTATTTTGGCTAATTGGTAAGTTGTCAATTGCCAGTTGAATTGTTATTAGGTTGTTTGATTGCTGATTTGAGACAGAAAATTTTTTGGGATTGTCCAAAAATAGGGGAAACTCTGCCCGATTTTCTGTAAAATTACCGATGAGGCTTACTTGGGAGCACTTGCTCCTAAGCGCCGATCTCGATCCTTAATTGGGTCGTGACAAAGTTGGTATCAGAGCTTAGGCTTTATGTCCCGAGTCATGGAGCAATGTTTAGTAGAGTCTTGTTCAAGGGTATGTAGGCGCCCATACTTATGATCTCAAGGCTACTAAACATTTAGGAATGTTTTCCCTTCTTTCATTCGTTGATCGTGCGTTGAGATAACTTGAGATTTACTTTGGAATATTTCTTTCGCAGATGGCTAGGACACGCACACCCTCATCTTCTGGACGTGGCGCTGGATGTGGTACTACCTGGGGTGGCGGTCAAGTTGGGGTTCATCAAACTAGAAGACAGACTGCTCCTCAACCTCAAGTTGGGAACATGGGTAAAACCCAAGCTGTTATGCCAGATCAAGTGCAAGAGCAGGGAGTTCAGAACGCTCCACCACCAGTGCCAACTGTTGTACCTACTGTTGCCTTACCTGCAGATGCAGTGGCAAGGTTATTGAATGTGTTAGAGGCATTGGTGCCTACTCAGGGCGGAAGTTCAACTCCTCAGGCTACTTCACAGACACAAGCACCTGCACAAACTCAGACTTTCGGGAATAAGGAAGTATCCCTACACGAGTTTCTGAAATTGAAATCACCAAAATTCACAGGTTCCGATAATTCAGCAGATCCTCAAAGTTTCTTGGATGGGACACTTAAGGCATTACGTGCTCTTGGACGTTCTAGTGAGAGAGTCGTGGAGCTCGCAGAATACAAACTAGAGGATATGGCCAACACATGGTATGAAACTGTATTGCTAGGAAGGCCGGCAGGAGCACCACCACTGACATGGGACGAGTTCACTAAGTTGTTCAAGAATCATTTTCTTCCAGACAGTCTGATGCAACAACATGCTAGAGACTTTGAGAGATTGGTTCAGACTCCAGATATGGATGTGTCAACATATAATACTAAGTTTTGTAAACTGGCTATATATGCTCCTCACTTAGTGCCTACCGAAGAAGCTCGAATTCAGAGGTTTGTTGATGGATTGGTTGGTCGTCTATACACTGCAGTAGCCCCACAGATGAAGACTTTATCCTACTCTGATGTAGTCGACCTTGCTAGAATGATTGAAAACAAGGGACGTGAAGAGCGTGCAGCTAGTGAATTACGTAAGAAGGCCAAGACAGGAGGGGCTTTCAGTGGCGGTTTTAGTGAAAATAGAAGAGCAGGAAATCAGGGACAACAACAACAACAGGGTTCTCAGACAGGGACACACATGTCTTCACAGTCCACATACAGACCATATTACAGACAAGGTAATAGGGGACCATCATCTTCTGGACATCGTAATTCTGGGCAGATATATGCCACTACTCCAGTCTGCCAGACTTGTGGTAGATCACATTTGGGCCAATGTCATGTTCTAACTGGAGAGTGCTTTCGGTGTGGCCAGTTGGGACATCACTTGAGGGATTGCCCTCAGCCTCCGAGAAATTTCAACCAGGCTTCTATTCAGTCAGCTGCACCGACTCAGACTACTCGTAATACTTCAGGTGCTACAGGTACAGGAAATAGAGGTCGAGGTGCTGTAGACCATGCTACTGTGAATCAAGGACAAGGGAATGCTGGTAGAGGTCAGGCGAGAGTTTTTGCATTTACTAGACAGGATGCTCAGGCCTCGAATGCAGTGGTTACAGGTATTCTTTCTGTCTGTTCATTTGATGCACTTGCGTTGATTGATCCGGGATCTACTCACTCCTATGTGTCCTCGTACTTTTCTTTGAGATTTAGTAGACAGCCCGAACTATTGAATGATCCTTTTCTAGTTGCTACTCCTGTCGGAGAGTCTCTATTAGCTGAATACGTGTATCGTGCTTGTCAGATTCGGGTTGAGGGTAGAGATACTCTAGCTGACCTTATTGTACTTGATATAATTGACTTTGACATGCTGATGTGAATGGATTGGTTATCTTCTTGCTATGCTATAGTCGATTGTAATGCAAAGATAGTAAGGTTTGAGATACCAAATGAACCCAATTTTATTCTAAGAGGGAGTCAGGTTCCAGAGACTTGCAAAATTGTATCTTTTATGAAAGCTCAACGACTTCTGAAGAAAGGTTGCTTGGGTCTCTTAGCTATTGTAAATGACACAAGAAAGGAAACAGCTAGTATAGAAAATGTACCAGTAGTGAGAGAATTTTCTGATGTATTTCCTGAGGATTTACCAGGATTGCCTTCGGTACGAGAAATAGACATTGGTATTGATTGGCTACCTAACACACAACCCATATCGATACCCCCATACCGAATGGCGCCAGCAGAGTTGAGGGAGCTAAAGCAACAGTTACAAGATTTGTTAGATAAGGGTTTTATTAGACCTAGTGTATCACCATTGGGTGCACCAGTACTGTTCGTAAGGAAGAAAGACGGATCCCTGAGAATGTGCATTGACTACAGGCATTTGAACAAGATAACAATACGCAATAAATATCCTTTGCCCCGTATAGATGACATGTTTAATCAGTTACAAGGAGCTGCCCACTTTTCAAAGATTGACCTCCGTTCTGGTTATCATCAACTTAGAATCAAAGATGAAGATATTTCTAAGACTGCTTTCAGAACTCGATACAGGCACTATGAGTTTCTCATAATGCCTTTCGGACTGACTAATGCTCCAGCGGTATTCATGGATTTAATGAATAGGGTGTTCAAGCCGTTTCTGGATAGATTTGTAATAGTATTTATTGATGATATCCTGATATATTCTCGTAGCCAAGGAGAACACGAGGATCATCTCAGGACTGTGTTGCAGACATTGCGAGAGCATCGGCTTTATGCTAAGTTCTCGAAGTGTGAATTCTGGCTAGACTCAGTAGCATTTTTGGGGCATGTTGTATCCAAGGATGGAATTATGGTAGATCCAAANCTCACCATATATATATATATATATATATATATATATATATATATACATACACACGTTCCATTACTTCAAACTTCAATAATTGTTACATCTTTAATTCAATTATTTTCTCAATTATATCCCCTTAAACAGTCTGAGGTTGTATTTTTCTTAAAAAGGAATTTCTACTAAGTTTTAAGTTATTAACTCTCATGTTAAAGGCAATAATCCATCCGATGTTGTATTTTAAATTAAAAAGGGTACCTTCTTTACTCAAAGGATTTCCAAATAAACAACTTCATCTTTTCTCGCTGGCTTTCTTAATTGGCTTAGAAATTGTAATTTTAGTTATATTAGGTAAATGAGACTTCTTGGACATATTGAGTGCATTGTACGGACGTTATGTATTGTATAGCATATGGATTTTGTTGTTAAAAGTGAAATGGAAAATGAAATATGGGGGCACAAGGTGCCATGTGTGCTGAAGGTTCGGAAGTTGAGATTATGATATGAGAAATCAAGGGTTGAGATGTTCAGGATTGTGTACTAGACATGATGTGATTGATTTAGTTGACATGGCCTCCTTTATTTGGATACATTCTTACTTGTCTCTGTTCCTGTTATGTTAGTGTTGATTTACTTGGTTATCGTTCGTTACTACCCGTGTTCTCCCTTTATTGCTCATACTGTTTGTCTTTTGATTTCTCTCCGCTGTTGATATTACCACGCCATCTTTAGCTCGATATTTTACTATCATATCCTGTTCATTTTATTTGACCAGTAGGTGTCTTGACTGTTCCTCGTCACTACCCCACCGAGGTTAGTCTTGATACTTACTGGGCACCACCGTGGTGTGCTCATACTATACTTCTGTACATTTTTGTGTACAGATCCAGGTATTTGATTGGTAGTAGTTGTGCGGGTCGTTGCGGCGGAGACTCCAGCTAAACCTACTACAGCATTCGCAGGCCTCGGAGTCACCTTCATTTGTACTTAATTCCATTTGTTCCTTTTGTTTTGGAGCAGTGATGTATTTATTTTGTATAACTACTCTTAGAAAGGCTTGTGACTTGTACCACCGGTTTTGAAAATTGTAATTTGTTCAGAGTAATTTAATTTAAAGTTAGTAAATACCCATGTTATTACAGAAAATGTTAGGCTTACCTAGTTTAGAGACTAGGTGCCATCACGACTCCTTTGGAGGGATTTTGGGGTCGTGACATTAGCCTAGATGAGGCAATTAATATGAGATCGATATTATGTAATTATAGATTGATTGGAGGAATTTGTACGAGTTGCTTGAGGTGAAGCAGTTGGTATTTTGGCACGAGTACTGTGAGTAGTAATCTTACCGCAATTTGTGTTTTCATAACTTGCATGATTTACACATGATTTTTTTAATATGAATATGTTACCGATTATTTTGAGTTGCATGTGTGACAAGTCTTTTACTCGATATGATACCGAAATAGTTATTTGAGATGAATACCGTGGTTTTAAATATTTTCGCTGTCACTAGATCTATTGTACCGCTACTTGAATTTACTGTTATCGAAAAGAAATTATATGATTTGATAAGAACCAAAATGCCCTATATTGTTTTAAAATATTTTCTACGAGTACATACAGATTATAGAGACAAGTATAAACGGGAGTACACATTGAAGGATCCCTTAGCTAACGGCGGGTTCGTTAGACCTGGTGCACCTTGTATTTACCGATCACAGAGTACAGTTATAGCCCTCGCAATGGGAAGGTAGAACTAGCATACCGTTACCGATTTCCCTCGAGTAGGGACTACCGTTATATTTGACTTCTTGGGAAGAAGTCCACAGTTATACCGATTACATGATCCGTTCATTGGAACCTCCCAAAATATGAATATTGATATTATACAGTGGTTACCGAGCTTATTACGGAATTATCAATCGTATTATACTACAAGAAAAACATGATGAGACTGAAAATTGTTTATTTGTACTTTCTGAAAGGGGCATTTTTATGATAATTTTTGTTTAATATACTAGCATGTTTTCTGACTTATCCCCAAATAAAAACAGTTGTGGTTAAGTGTTATTACTCACTGAGCTAGCGACTCATTCCCCGCTAATTGTTTTTATAGAGACAGCAGTTGACGTAGGCGAGGATTTCGTTAATTAGAGCGCACAGGTTGATAGTTCATGGTGAGCCTCGCACTTGTTCGCGTGGGCGAAGATTTTGTTTATTGTTATGGTCTTTCTTTGAACTCTTAGAGTCGACCCATGGCCATTCTTTTAGTGTCTTGAGTAGTCTTTGTTATTAAAGACTTATGTTAAGTAACGCTCATTCTTATAAAAATTTGGAGATAAAGTGGTATTCCTAGTTGTTAGTGGGTGGACTGTTAAAGGTAGATACTTATTTTGGTTAATGGATAAAGTCATTGTCATTGGAATTGCTATTAGGATGTTTGGTTGCTGAATTTGAGACAGGAAAAATTTTGTGATGGTCCAAAAACAGGGGAAACTCTGGCCGATTTTCTGTATAATACCGATGAGGCTTACTTGGGGGCGCTTGCTCCTAAGCGCCGGTCACGATCCTGAATTGGGTCGTGACAAAGTTGGTATCAGAGCTTAGGCTTTAAGTCCCGATTCATGGAGCAATGCTTAGTAGAGTCTTGTTCATGGGTATGTAAGCGCCCATACTTATGATCTTGAGGCTACTGAACATTTAGGAATGTTTTCCCTCTTTTCATTCTTTGATCGTGCATTGAGATAACTTGAGATTGACTTTGGAATATTTCTTTAGCAGATGGCTAGGACACGCACACCCTCATCTGCTGGACGTGGTTCTACCCGGGGTGGAGGTCAAGTTGGGGTTCATCAAACTAGAAGACAGACTGCTCCTCAACCTGAAGTTGGAAACATGGGTCAACCCCAAGCTGTTATGCCAGATCAAGTGCAAAGGCAGGGAGTTCAGGACGCTCCACCACCAGCGCCAACTGTTGTACCTACTGTTGCCTTACTTGCCGACGCAGTGGCAAGGTTATTGAATGTGTTCGAGGCATTGGTGCCTGCTCAAGGTGGAAGTTCAGCTCCTCAGGCTACTTCACAGACACAAGCACCTGCACAGACTCAGACTTTTGGGAATAAGGAAGTATCCCTACAAGAGTTCCTGAAATTGAAATCACCAAAATTCACAGGTTCCGATAATTCAGCAGATCCTCAAAGTTTCTTGGATGGGACACTCAAGGCATTACGTGCTCTATGATGTTCTAGTGAGAGAGCTGTGGAGCTCGCAGCATACAACTAGAGGATATGGCCAACACATGGTATGAAATTGTATTGCTAGGAAGGCCAGCAGGAGCAGCACCACTGACATGGGACGAGTTCACTAAGTTGTTCAAGAATCATTTTCTTCCAGACAGCCTAATGCAAAAATATGCTAGAGACTTTGAGAGATTGGTTCAGACTTCAGATATGGATGTGTCAACATATAACACTAAGTTCTGTAAGCTGGCTATATATGCTCCTTACTTAGTGCCTACTGAAGAAGCTTGAGTTCAGAAATTTGTGGATGGATTGGTTGGTCGCTTATACACTGCAGTAGCCCCACAGATGAAGACTTTATCCTACTATGATGTAGTCGACCTTGCTAGAAAGATTGAAAACAAGGGACGTGAGGAGCGTGCAGCTAGTGATTTACGTAAGAAGACCAAGACAGGAGGGCCGTTCAGTGGCGGTTTTAGTGAAAATAGAAGAACAGGAAATCAGGGACAACAACAACAACAACAGGGTTCTCAGACAGGGACATACATGT